TCTAAGCAATGCATAAATCTTGCCACCGGCATCCCAGATTTGGGCTGATTAAACCTGTAACAGAGTCTGCAAATATGCCAGGCTGTAGGATCAAATTGTCAATCACTCATAAATAGGTTGATTTTTCAGGAGATCTTGAGTAGCTGTGCTAAATTGGTTGGGACCCAAGGTACAGTTAATTTCAGATGACAGTCTGTATCAGTTCTTCCTTAATTGGCTATTGTTACATTTTTTTTTCCATTTCTTTATTTTTCCTCCTCCTTCAGTCTGGTAGAGACAGAACCATGTGAAGAAAAACTTGAGTCTTCCAAGAAGCATAAAGATTCTAGTAATAGCTTGGATCTGCTCTAGCATTCTTAATTACAGAATCACTCAGCTTTTTTTTTTCCTCTTTGATAGATGATTTATAGTAGACATCTTTAACCTTTTGCTCCTTTTAAATCCAACAAAATCAACTTTTCATATTAGAATACAGCAGAGCTATAAATACAGAAGCTAATTGGCTTGAAAGATCACATTAGGAATATACCACCAGGTCATTAATCGGCGCCTGAGTTCCTAGTAATGCAAAGTGGACTCAAGTGAGTTGAACAGCCACACATGAATATTAAATAGATGAGTGTAGGGCATTATTGAATGAGGCTTCAGTATTCTTTGCATTTTTCGCTTGGGAAATGAGTCAAGCAATTTCAAGCCGTGTCTCTGCTCCCCCAACACTAGACAGAGGTGAAGCCACAGAACTTACTCAGATATTAGCCTATGAGCTTAAGGTCAGGTGTCTTAAATGGCTTCTGACCCTAGAATCCTGGACCAGCCCAGGACTTGTCACTAAGTCCTTCTAGTTATACACAGACAAGCAGATGACTATAAGGGCACCCCAGTCTCCCAAGGACCAGATTCAGATCTCATAAACATTGTTTTTGAGAAGGCAACACAGACTGAAGATGCAGGATTAGCAAAAACCCAATCACTACATGCTACAGGGGTTTAGTTCTAGGCAGTTGGATTTCAGTAGTTAGAAACTCCTCTTGCTCTCTTCCTGAAAAGTATAACTTTGCACACAAGAGATGTTTTGCACTAAGCTGTGTTGCTCATAGAACACAGAGCTGAATGGAAGCTCAGGCCATGGAGTCCAGTCACCTTATTTTACAGATACTGAAATTGATACCTGGGAGGTAAAGTGACTTGCCCCAAGGTCACACTGATAACTGATGACAGAATAAGATTCAAACTGAGGTACTCTTCTTTCCACCATGCTATACTTTCTCCTTTCTGTGGCCTTGCTATTATTAGATAAGAAGGGAAGCTAGCTTATATGGTATCTTTAACATGGAGTTTGCTTCCACTGCAGGGCATACAAATCTTTTCCCACTCACTATGGCTATTTCTGGGCATTCAGAATCGCTCCTGTCACTGTGCTCACTTGGGCCACAGATGTAATATCTCTAACTCAGAGTCAGCTTATCACATGGACATAAAATATGTTCTCATCGGGGTCTTCGTGTCTCTCATATGATGACAGATTGTGAGACATTCTGGCCTAGGAATCTAATAAAGTCACCTAGGATTGGATCACAGAATATTAGATTTGGAAAGTATCACAAAGCCCCCCGACAAACCCCATGGGGGATGAAAAAACCTTTTATTACACGGCTAACACTTTTATTACACACCCAACACTTGGTCGTCAGATTTTCCTCGAAGACGTCCAGTGATAAGAAGCACATTGTACTCTATATTAGAGATTTTCAACTTCCTGAGTGGATGACAATTTTGTATATAATTTGTACTCATAACAATAGCAACAACAACAGTACAATACACACACACACACACACACACACACACACACACACACACACACACACCAGCTAGTTTTGCATAGACCTTCAAGGTTTGCACAGTGCTTTACAAATGCTATCTCATTTTATCCTTATAACAACCCTGGGAAGTATGTGCTATTAATATTCCCTTTTAATAGATAAGGAAACTGAGGTAGACAGATGTTAAGTGACTTTCCCAGGATTAGACAGCTAGTAAGCATCTAAGGCCAAATTTGAACTCAAGTCTTCCTGACTCTTGGTCTAATGGTTTATTAAGTTCCTGCTACATGCTTGGCACTGTGTGAAGTGCATTACTATCATTATCTCACAGTAAGGAGTATTACCAGGCATGATTTATGTTAGAAAGCCAGTAATGTTCTCTCCGATTCTAAAATTTTGGGAACCATTTTAATTTCTTGCTTTCTACCTCTTACCTCATTGCTACCATTTCAACTCAAAATATTCAAGTATGTAAAAGGCTAGGGTTTGGGTTTGGCATAAATGTATTAATCAGACATCTTGGTACCATTCATGTTTAACCAGTTCTAAATGTACCTAATTATGCAACTGCCCAGCTTCTATTTCCCCTTCTTGTCTCTAAGGATATCATGACAGTTTCTAACTTCCTTTCTGAAATAAAGACATATTATGTCTACAATAATATTTTAATATTTTCCAATCACACAAAAGTAACATGTTTGTTAATTTACTTCGTCATGGCTTGTTTTTAGTGAATTTATGCTGACTCCCAGAAATTATCATTGGTCTTGGGGGAAGAGGGTGTTTGATGGTGCCAAATAGTCACGAATTGTTTGCTTAACAATATTCCCTAAATTTTGCAAAGATCACCATCAAGTTTACTAACCTACAAGTTCAAAAACTCACTTTCTGTAGTTTTTTTTTAAAGAAATTGGAGCATTTCCCTGTGATAGTCTCCTACCTTCTCCTCCCAAGAACATCTTTCGTTCTCCAAGATTTAAACAAGAATACCCCAAAATGTTTTCAAGCTTATATAAGGAAGTTCATCAGTTCTTGTGGGAATAGTTTGCCAAGTTCTTATACTATGAAAGTGGCTAGGAGTTCTCTTATCTTCTGGCCTACCTTTGGCTTCAATTTTATAAATGATCTTTTGCAATTTGAAAATAGTTCTCTTTGTTGGAGAAGAGTAAACAAAATTAGGTAAAAGCAAAACAATATTATAAGGGGGCCTTAGAACATGCAATATTAAATCTGGGCACGACTTTAGAGACTACCTAGATTCCAAGCTCTTCATTTTGCAGATTAAGAAATGGAGCTGCCAGATGTTTAGCTGTCAGGCCATGGCCAAAGGTTCCTAAATATCAGAACTGTGGATTTTCCATGACTTCATTGAAAGATCTTTAAATGGTCTTTATTGTTTGTGCCACACAGCTGCCCCCCAATTAGCGTAAATAATGAATCTATGAAGTGATCTTCTATATTCAAATTCGCACCATTCAAAGTTATAATGGGTAACTGGTTCCAGCCCACTGGAAATATGCAGTGCAAATTTTAATAATGCAACTGATTCACAGGAAATATTGTTCTCAGTATTGGGGGATCTACCTGTAATACATATCTGTTAAAGTTAACAAACACATCACTAATAAAGAATGAGCCTATAAATCAGAGATTACCCATGTTTCCCATGTATTACTCAGCAGTGCCCTGGTTCCTGGCATTTCTAACAAAAATACCAAATCCTTAAACTGTAGTTTCCAAAAGCTACCCATTTCAACTAAGAAAATTCTTTAGCCCAGATGCTGGCTGGGGCTTAATCTGATGCAAATGGATAACATGGGTGGGTTAAACTTTGCCCCTGCTGGCTCTTTGAGACTTTCCACTATGGTTTGAGAGTGACTTAGCAACCATCTACAAAAGCACATTCGAAACAGTTCGAAACAATACAATAGAACCTGTAGCTCTTATTTTTCCGATGTCCAACATAGAAATAATGAAATAAAATAAAATAATAAATTTAAACCTAAAAAGAAACAATACCTAAAGAGGAGCTAAATTTAGTTCAATCTTTGAAAGCAAGGCACCTGAGAAGTAGAATATTTGAATGCACTGGTTTCACAGAATAAAATCACACAGCCAGAAGGGATCTGAGAACAATGTAATAACTTACACACCTCTAAAACTTACAGATTTATAAAATGTTTGCTCCTTCAATATTTCTGTGACATAGATAGTGAAATAACTTTTTAAAAAATTATTTAGTCATTCAAATAAATTTATTAACATGTATTTATTAAGGACTTGCTGGCCTCTGAGATCTCTTCCAGATCTAGCTGTACTTACTTTTCCAAAAACTCCATCTCCTATGTGCCAGACACTGTGCTAAGTGCTTGGGATACAAAAGTAGAAAAATCCTTGACCACAAGAAGCTCATTTTAGTCTCCTGTTGGGCATAGGGAAAGGATATGTTATAGCAGATAAGTAAATACAGCATATACTCAAAATGCATATTAAGCAGAAAGTATGGGAATTTGTCTGGGATAGATGGATGGGGTATGAAATGGGATCTTTAGTAATACAAGTAAATACAGAGTACATCAGGGAGGAGACACTATTAGCTAGGAAAGAGGATAGAGAGGATTTACAAGATGTCTCCTATAAAAGGTGGAGCTTTGAACTGAACTTTGGAAGAAACTAGGGATTTTAAAAGTAATTAAAGATTTTAATAGGCAGTGTTAGAGGAGTAATGTACAATTAGTCTAGAAAGCTAGGTAGGAGACAAATGCCAACCTGAATGATTTTTGATCTTATAAACAACAGGGAAACCCTTCGGTTTATTCAGTGAAGGATTGCTTGGTCATGACCACCATGCTTCATGACCACCAGTTTTGCAGTTATGTGAAATAGGGTTTAGAGACCTTTGAGGCAGGAAAACCCAAATTGTCCTGATAGATATCTGAGCTAGGGTGTTGGCCCCTGTGATTCAATAGTGGGGTGGAACATATGCAAGAATTGTTCTGGGGGAGAATTGGCAGGACTTGGTACCTGAATGCCTATACTGGGTGGAGACTCAAGGAAAATTCCAAAGTTATGAACAACAGTGATAGAGAGAATGGTAAGAAACTGACATCATCTTGCTCTTTTTTAAGAAGCTTTATATCCAGGACAAAGAAAGTTATAATCTCACTGCTCTCTGTCCTCATCAGATTATAACTAGATTGTTGTGACTGATTCTAAAGCAGCACATTTTCTGAAAGATATTGACAGGTTTGAGTATGTCCAAAAATCAGAGACCAGGGTGAAAAGGAGCCTTTCAATCCTGCTATATAAGGATGGATGTTTAACTAAGCAAAATGAAGATCCAGGTGAGATACCACCTCTGTCTTCATTGATCTGAAGGACTAACCTGTGGAAATGGGAATGGGATTATTCCCAAAGATCAGAAAAATGACACACTTTTGGAAGTTATGGTAAGTAGATTTTGGACTGGTGTAAGGAAAGACTTCCTAACAATTATAAGTATTCCTCAGAAAAGAATGGGCTACTTGAGGAAATTAGGAACATTTGGAAAAATCAATAAGACATAAACTAAAATTAAACAGCTGGGTTAGCTTTCTGAATTAGTATTTTTTTCTTCATTTATATCACACACTTTCTCACAAGAGTAGCTACAGTTCATTTCTTATTAAATAGTAAGATACATCCAGAAGAAGTCCTATGATGTCACTTGGGTTGGGGAAATGTGCTGAGCAGAGACTGTCTTCATTGTTGTTGCTATTAGTGTTATTGTTTCACATTCATATGATGCTTTTCCTATTAAAGCTTTTCTCAGTGGGGATTGAATTATCCTTTGGTGGGAAATGGTTTGACAGTTAAATTTTAAGACTCCCATTCATTAAAAGGAATGCATTTCTTATCCCCTGGACACATGAACCATTTCCCTAGGAAAAGACACTCTACTTGCTTATTTTAATGTTACTCTATAGAGTACTCAATAAGATGATGTCTAATAACTCCTCTGAGACTGAAATATTTTGTGATTCCAGGCAGGTAAATACAACTCTTCGTTTCTTTTCTTAAGGAATGGAAGAAGAAGAGTGCAAATCAGTCAGTCAGTGAATCAACCAATCAACAAGAGATCATTAAGTTTTTAACTATGTACCAAATACTGTCCAAGGCACGGGGGATGCAATAGCAAAGTGAAGCAATCCTTGTATAGGGACTAGATGATCTCTAAGGTCTTTTCTACTGTTAAATCATATGAATCAATAATCTTGTGATATCTAATTCCCAGTCAGCAATAAACTTCTACAATCTTTGTTCCAATATTCTGTATTCTAAATGCCTTTCATGCTTTGGCTTGTGTTCAAACATTCTATGGGCTAAGGTCTCTTTCAATTCTAACCATCTGTCTTCCATTATCTAATTTCCTATATTCTAAGGCACTTTGTAGTAATCTGACTTCTAAGGTTCTATTCCAGTTCTACCTTGATTTTCCAAGGATCCATATTTTCTACTCCCTATTCTATTTCCAAAGATTCCTTTCAGCTCTTGCAGTCTGTCCCATATTTGTTTTATTTCATATGCAATGTTTTTGATGAGCTTGATTATTCATCATACATGAGATGCCTGCCACTAAAATATTATTCATAGTTCAAGCCTATGATGCTAGTTGAATTAGTGACTTAATGAACACATTATTCATAATTCTGGACTCTGGTGTCTTGGAAGACAGGTTGAACTCCTCTTTGAAGAGATAAGGCAAATGACAAAATAACAATATGAAACCATACATGACTAAATGGTTCAATAATCCCTCTAATGTTAGCCTTCTTGGAGCCACTCGTCATTGGAGCAGGGCTTTAAATGACAAGCAAAATTTGAGATAGACTCCATAACAGAAGATTTCGGGTGTATTATGTTTTGTGGGGTGCTTAAATATTCACCATCATGACCAATCTTTCCTGGCAAAATTTTTTAAAATATATCAGTAGATTCTCTCTTTTGTTTAGGACTAGGAGGAGAAAAAGGAAGGAAAAAAAAAACTCTATAAAACTATCGTGGTAGTTTTAGACTAAGAACAAGAATAGTCAGAATAACAAGTAGAAAGGCAAAAATAAAAGTTGTCATCAGATTTTGATTAATTTCCAACGCAATAAACATTTATTAAGGGGCTATGAGGCACCAGGCACTGTGCTAAGTATTGAGGATATAATTAATAAAAAGAAAAAATAAAACAGTTCCTGCCTTCAATGAGCTTGTACTCTAAAAGGGGGGGAAAAAAACAAAAATAATACATAAAGGGAGACAGGAAAGCTGGTGGGAGTGGCATGGGACATGAGGCAGTACCTGGCTCAGGGGCATTCTGTTCCATGAAGCCGAAACTAGGCAGGGCAGCAGACACAAGATAAGAGTGATCTCAGATACCTGAGTTTCTGCCCTCTGTAAAGGAAGGAATTGGAAAGTGTTTGGCATTCCACCCTCCAGCCTTGGGCCAGTCACTTTTCACTTCATCTCTGTTAGCCTTAGCTTCTTCCTCTAGAAAATGAGGGAAATATTTGGAATAAGTAACTCACAAAGTTGTTGAGAGGAAGAAAAGAAATAATGCATGTAAAGTATATTGGAACCATGAAACAAATCGAAAAAAAAAATCAATATTTTTCAATGTCATTCAAATCTGAGTTATTCATTTAGGGAAGTGATCAGTCAGGTTCACTGATTAACTTACAGTTGTGGTAAGCCCTTTCTGCCTTCCTTCAAGTCCCAGCTAACATCACATCTTCTACATGAAGACTTTTCCATTTTCCTCAAATACTACTAACTTCTCTCTGTTGATTATCTCTGATTTATCCTTTATATATTTTGTTTTTATATAGTTGTTTGCATGTTGTCTCCATACTTAGATTCTTAACTCCATGAAATCAGGGAATGTCTTTGCCTTTCTTTGTATCCCCAGCACTTAACACAGTGCTTGGCACATAGTAGGTACTCAATAAATGCTTTTCGACTAACTCTGAAGCCTTTGCTTGCAGCTCCTCTTTCATCTTCCATCAAGGGTGTGAACATACTGACATCTTCTAAAGGACTGATAGACTTCTGCTTAGGAATCCCTACTAATGATTCATTATTTGAGAATTAATTGAGAATATTCCCTAAAGTCTCATTGATTGGGAAAGAGGTTGTGGATTAATTGGTGATGAACTGGTTCACTGAAGTTCTTCAAGACCATGCACATGCCTTTCATAGGAACATGAAATCACAGTCTCAGACAAAGGCTCACCACCATGAAAACTCATGAAGCTGATTAGAGAACTGAACAACCACCTACAGTTATTAGCAACAATAAATACAAATCATTTTAAATAACAATGAAACAGAAAGAATGACAGTACAGAGATTTAAATTCTAACCCTATTGTGAGTAATTCTGATAAGTAGGAGAGAACTCTCTACTTTGTGGGAGAACATACAAGAGAGTAGTATAAAGTAAGGATTTTTCTTTTTTAAAGTCATGAAGCATACAAAGTAATCCTTTTGTGAGCCTAAATACCTATTCCAACAAGTTTGTCATTACTTAAAATATTTCTGGATGCGTCCTTTAGGAACTAATTTTAGTGCCTGCCAATTTACAAGTCAAATAATGAAGTCAATCTTGTTACTTCACAGCTGCACCTCACATTTTATCACAACCATTCCCTTTTAGTCTCTTCCATTTACCAGCTTTGGTTAAAAAAAAAAAAAGATTAATAAAAGTACCAAGCATTTATACAGTGTTTGAGAAGTACTTTATAAATATTATCTCATTTTACCTTCACAACAACCTTTAGAGTCAGGTTCTACTATTAACCTAATTTGACAGATAAAGAAACTGAGGCAGAGATTAAATGACTTCTTTAGAGTTCTTAGCTAATAATAGTCTGAGTCCAGATTTGAATTCAGATTTTCCTGTCCTCAAGTCCAGGCCTTTATCCACAGAGCCACCAAGATGCTGAATCAAGTGTTGCAACACAGTTGCCAACAAAGTAAAGCACCATTTCCTATGATTCTAGTGAGGAGGAGTAGGAGGAGAAGGAGAAGAAACAGCTTCATTCAGCTGATTTCAAGGATGTACTAACAAAGAGCTACGCTAATATCATAACTCATTTCCTCCATGACTCAAAAAAGTCAAGCTATACTTTTGTTTCCATTATACGTGAACAAAGTCGACAGAACAAGTCTTTGACTTCTGAGTTCCTATTCACAAATTCAGCTTCACAACCTGACTTCTAATTTTTTCTAGTTTTCTTACACTTTACTCTCCTTTGCAGTTGCAGGGGATAGAGTGCCTGACTTGGAGTCAGAAAGACTTGAGTTCAAGTCCAGCCTCATATATTTACTAGTTAGATGACCCTTGACCAGTCACATAAACCCTGTTGCCTTCACTTTCCTCAACTACAAAATGGAGATAATAACAGTACCAACTTCCCAGTACTGTTGTGAGGATCAAAGGAGACCATAAGTGTAAAGCACTCGGCATGATGTGTGACACAGGGAGGAACTTCATAAATGTGTCCTTCCCTCCTTCCTTCCTTCTCTATCTCCTTCCTTCTTTCTTTCTTTCTTTCTTTCTTTCTTTCTTTCTTTCTTTTTCTTTCTTTCTTTCTTTCTTTCTTTCCTTCCTTCCCTCCTCCATCTTTCCCTCCCTCCCTTCTTCCTTTTCCCCCTTTCTTTATCCCTCTACATCCTTCTTTCCTTCCTTCCTTTTTTTCTTTCATCCTTTCTTCCTCCATTCTTTCCTCCCTTCTTTCCTCCTTTCTCCCCTCCCTCTAGATCCTTTCTTCCCTCCTTCCTTCCTTCTGTCTTTTCTTCCTTCTTCCTCCTTTTCTTCCTTTCTCCCTTCTTTCTTCCCTCCATCCCTTCCTCATTCCCTTTGTTCCTTTCTCTCTCACTTTCTTCCTCCCTCCCTTTGTTCCTTTTTTCCTTCCTTCCCTCACTCTATATCCTTTCTTCCTTCGATCACTTTATTTTCTTCTTCCTTCCCTTTCTCCCTCCCTCTCTTCCAACTAGTTGTCACTTCCACCACCCAACCTAAGTAAAGTACAAAAAATAAAAACAAAAAGATAATTATGATATCCTACTACTTTGAGAATCAGGATATTTTAGACAAGGGAATGATTCTCTAATGGTAGAAATCCAGGTACTGTGATAGGCCCACTGCAAAGATATTGTTGTATAACTTGTTTTCTGCATATATCTGAAATCATCATGGATGAGCAGCTGCTTGTACAGTCAGCCCTAGAAATAGTTTTTAATCTGAAATTTGGCTCAAATGCCTTACTGGTGTCTTTTGTTTTTAAATAGTTCTCTACCCTCCAGTGTGTTACTTTTCTTTTCCCTGGCCAGGTCTGGATTATCCATCAACTGCACAAAATTGAGTAATCGCCACAATAGCTGTGGGGAAGCTGGCTTTCTTCCCCTCTAGCAAGTGGAGCCACCAGCCTGGTTCTGAGGTCCCTGGATCAGAATCAAAGCATTTCATCTTGCGTCTACCTTTAGAAGCTGTCAGACTGGCAGGAACATTTGTCATCCTATTGAAGGAAGGAAACACCTTCAACCCCCATGGGTATTGTCAAAGACACAATCAGGTGGTGAATCACACTTTGTCTCTTCTCCATCTGCTTGGCTGAATCAAGGTCATCTGTTCACTTCCACACAGAGGAAAGGGTTCCCTACACTCTTACCAGACATCTTATATTCTAAAATAGGGTTAGAACACAGCATTAGGATGGAAAAAAATAATAGCGATTATTTATTTTTGAATAAATTTACTTGTAGGTACTTTAAAAAAACAAGCCTTCAGAATGTTAACTCTATCACTACAGTTCAGTGGCATTATTCTCCACCATATTTGTCCTTTCTCCCACTCTTACTACCATTCAAACAATTGTTAAAATTATAACTGCAACAGTCACAACAGGCTTTGTAAACTTTAAAATACTCAAGAAATAATCATTTTAATTATAATATTTGTTATTATCTCATCACTTAATGTTATCAGGATCATAGGATTCCAGGGGTGGGGAACCTGTGACCTCAAGGCCTGTGTACAAGTCCCATCTTAGACATTGACTAATATATAGCAAAAAGTAATTTAATTATCTAGAAGACTTAGTAGAATGGCTAACCCCTAATAGAGGAGATTCATTTGTCTGTTTGTAGTCACAGTTCTGGGTTCCTGCCATTAAATACCTGTATTACCAGGGGATGATCCCAACCGTGCCAGCCTCTTGGACTGGTATTGAGAAATGTATCTGAGTAATTATGAAGAGCTTTTGTAAACTGGCTCCAGTGAAGGCAATTTTCACAGTATCAGTCTACCTCCCACAGGAGGACTATACCCATTGTTTCAATTAACTTTAAAAGAAAACAAAACTAACAAAAATAACAACAAAACACACCCCAAATGTATTGTCCACCTTATTTTATCAGACTTGATTCTGAATGATTTTTAACTGAGAGCAGACTCTCAAAGCATGAAGATTTACTGTCATTGAGGAAATTTAAAGGAATTTAAGTTGACAATCCACAGGTAATTAGGTATCTACACTGTGCTTAGCAAAGCGTTATGGAGGGTAGGGGAGGAGGGAAGGGACAACAAAAAGACTGGGGTAGAAGGAGTCTCTATTCACAAGGAACTTCAAGTGTAATGGAAAGTCAGCAGGCAAATAATTAGGTACAAGATGAGATCAATTGGAAATAATCTCATAAGAAAGGGAAGAAGATGGGATTTTAGCTAGAATTTAAGGATACTAGAAGACAGAAAAAAGAGGGAGAGGATTCCAGGCATGGGGTATGGAGGGGATCAGCTAATGAAAATTATGGAAAATGGAGTATTTTGTAAGAGAAAGAACAATGTAACTAACCACTGTCCCTGGATTACAGACCATGCGGAAGAGAGGAGTAAGAATGAAAAGATGAAAAGGTAAGAGGTGGTCAGGTTATGAAAGGTTTTAACAGTCAAAAAGAAGATTTTATACTGATTTAATCCTGGAAGTGATAAGGGAGTCTCTGGGGTTTATTGAATGGGATAATGATATGGTAAGAGTTGGACTTTAGGAAGATCAATTTGGCAGCTGAGTGGAAGCTGAACTGGAGTGGGACTTGAGGCAGGGAGAACAATCAGAAGGTGATTGCAATAGTCTGGGTGTGAAGCCATTAAAGGTTCCCACCAATACGGCAGTAGAGTTGGGAAGAAAGAAGATGGTATAGATGAGCTATGTTGTGAAAGCGGAATCTACAAGACATGGAAACTGACTGGATAATGGAATGAGAGAGTGAGAAATAGAGGATAACACTTACTTTGCAAAGCCTGGGTGAGTGGGAGGATGGTGGTACCCTCAACAGTAACAGGGAAGTTCAAAAGAGCAAAGGGGTGTCAGGGAGAAAGACAAATGAGTTCAGTTTTGCATATTTGACTTCAAGATGTTTAAAAACTTCCAGCCTGAGATGTTCAATAGGCAGATGGAGATGTGAGAACAAAGGTCAGAGAATTCGAAAGAATGTGCCTTATGAGATGTGGAACAATATACTAGAAAGGATACTGCCAAGTGCAAAGAAAAGGATAAAACCTTTGAGCTGAAAAGCAGCTTTGAATGTCCAGTGGGATGTTACAAGAGATGACAGAAATGTTAGCTATAGAAAACAGGGATAGAGACTGAAGCTGTGATTCCATTGATATACAGAATACCAGAAGCAAACTCTCTCAGGAACAGACTCTCTCTGCAATGTATACTTTTAGAGAACTGTCTAGAGCAGTAGTGTAAAACTAAAAATGGAAAAGGGAACCACTAAACTGAACCTAGGCCGCATGTGGGTGTACAACACTATATTTTAATATTATCTATGTTCTATATTTTAAAATATATTTATTAAAATATTTTCCAAATTTATTTGAATTTGGTTTGGCTTGTACTAGGGAGTTTTGCAGGCTACAGATCAGCCCATATGTTTGACAGCCCTAATCTAGACCACTGAGGCATTAAGTGACTTGTCCAACTGAACAGAAGATGGACAGAGTGGGAAAACACTTGAAGCCAAGGGACAAATTGAGGGCTATTAAAATGGTCTAGGTGTGAAATGATGAGGACCCTCACCAGCACGGTGGCAGTGTTAGGCAAGAGAAGAAGGAACAGTTCACTGTCAGTATGTCTGAAGTGAGCCTTGAATCCAGGTGTCCTATTCTTCAAGACCATCTCTCTATCCATTCTCCCATACTACCTCTCAAGCAGAAGGGTGCTATAACTGAAATATTATTATAATATAGCTTATGTGTCATAAAAGTTGAAAAGGTTAGTCCATAAAACATAGACTATAGAGTATTATAACTGCAAGTTATATTAGAGATCATCTTATCCAAATTTCTACGAATAAGAAATTGAAATCTGGAGTGAGAAGTGAGAAGTCACTTGTCTAAAGTCACAAGGCTAGTTAGTGCTAGAGGTGGGACTTTTCTTTAGGTTTCCTTATTTCTTTAACCATGATCCTTCTATCTATCTATCTATCTATCTATCTATCTATCTATCTACTATCTATCTATCTATCTATATGTCTGTCTGTCTGTCTGTCTGTCTGTCTATCTATCTATCCACCCGCTTACTTAACTATCCATCAAACTATCCATTTATCTATCTATCCATCTATCTACATCTGGATTTATCTATCCATATATCCATTAATCTATTCATCTATCTTTATCTACCTACCAACCCACCTACCTATCCATCCATCTGTCTACACACCTATCCATCTATCAATTCATCTATCCATTCCTTCTCCCACCCCCACAGGCAGCTAGGTGGAACTATAGTCTTAATGCTTGGCTTGGAATCAGGAGAAGCTGAATTCAGATCTTACCTCTGACACATTACCTCTGCAACACTGAGAAAGCATTTTAATGCTTCTTGCCCTCAGTTTCCCCACATGAAAAATTAGAGAGTTCCATTAAACAGCCTCTAAGATAAGCTTTAAGTCTATAGGAATCCGAAGTTAGCTTTCAGTTCTAAAAATCCATGATTTTAAATTAAGTCATTTGCTTGGGTGAAGGATACAGAAAACATTCATAAAAATTACAACAAATACTTTCCTCAAAACTTTCTTGAGAATAAAGTGGTGATATTTAACATTTCCATAGCACTCTCATTACAAAATAGTCCTTTGAGTTAAATAGTAAGAATGTTATCCTTCTTTGGTTGTTAATTTTTATTTGTTTTTTTATATAAAGAGTGGAAAAAACTTCAGAGAACATTTAGTCTAACACCATCTTTTACTGGGGCCCAGAGATGTGAGGTAATTTGCCCAAGGACACATAGTAGTAAACATCAGAGGCAGAATTTGAACCCAGTCCCTCCTAGTCTAGAGACGTTTTTCTTTCAATTTTGCTTTGCAGAAAAGAAAAAAGAAACATTTATAGGCTAAGAGATCATCTATGAGAGCTAGAAGGGACCTTGGGGGATGTCTAATTCAAGACCATTATTTTACAGCTAGGCATATTAAGTCCCAGGAAAATTCAATGACTTGTCCAAAGTCTCATGGGTAACAAATAACTGAAGAAAGATTGGAGACCATATCTTTCAAACTCTAACCCTAGCACTTTATCCATTACATTATGTTATATGTCAGTAACACAAACACAATTTGCCTCATTTACCAGATAAATTGAAGTTAGGAGCATTTAAATTTTGTTTCCATGTATGTACATATGTATGTATGTATGAGCATATACATATACTTACATACATATGTATGTATATATGTATAGATAGACATAGATATGTCTATACATATTTATATCTATGCATGTATACGTGCATGCATACATACATACATGCATGTGTGTGTGTGTGTGTGTGTGTGTGTGTGTGTGTGTGTGTGTGTGTGTGAATATAGGTCTCCAGACACCTAGTTCTCCTTTTTGAGAGCCATGGAAATAATTTTTGGAATAAGCATCTGTCTTCTCCAGGACAAAACATGAAAATGGGGCAACACTCATTTGGCTAAGTTCTGTTTACCTAGAAAGTACTCCCTTCAACCTCTGACTCTTAGGGTCGCTGATTTGCTTTTAAGAATCAGCTCAAATACCATCTCCTCTAGGAAAACTTCCTTTTCTTCCCTAGCTGCTAGTGTCATCTCCCTTCAGGTCACCTTCCTTTGACTTTTTATCTTACATTTTCTTATTGACAAAAACAGTTTCCCACATTAGAGTGTAAGTCCCTTGAGAGGAGAAACTGTGGCTTTTTTTTTTTGTATCCCCACAACCCAGCACAGTTTCTGTCACATAGTAAACACTTAATAAATGGATTTTTTTATATTTTTCCAGTTACTTTTTTATTTTATTTATTTTTTTTTTGGTGAGGCAATTGGGGTTAAGTGACTTGCCCAGGGTCACACAGGCAGTAAGTGTCAAGTATCTGAGGTCAGATTTGAACTCAGGTCCTCCTTACTCCAAGGCTGGAGCTTTATCCACTGCACCACCTACCTGCCCTCCAATTACTTTTAAAAACAAATGTTAACATTCATTTTTAAAAAGATATTTTGAGTTCCCTACTTCACGCCCTTCCTTTCTCCTTGAGAAGGCAAATAATTTTATATAGGTTATACATGTAAACTCATGTAAAATATATTTACATATTAGTCATGTTGTAAAAGAAAACAGATAAAAAATAAGAAAAAATAAAGTTACAAAAAAGTATGGTTCATTCTGCATTCAGACTATATCAGTTCTTTCTCTGGAGGTGGAAAGCATTTTTCGTCATAAGTCCTTCAGAAGTGTCTTAACTCATGACACTGAGGGGAAATAGCAAAGCCATGCACATTTTATCATTGTAGTTACTATGTACAACGTCTTTCTTGTTCTATTTCACTTTGTTCAGTTGTCTTTTCAGATTTTTGTGCAAGCATCTGACTCATCATTTCTTATAGCACAACAGTATTTCATCGCAATCATATACCACAACTTGTTCAGCTGTTCCCTGGTTGATGGGCATCCCCTCAATTTCCAAATTTTTGCCACCACCAAAAGTGCTGCTGTAAATATTTTTGTGCATTTAAGCTTTTTTTGTTTTTGTTTTTGTTTTAATCTTAAATATATAGACCTAGTAGTATTATTGCTGGGTCAAAGGACATGCACAGTTTTATAGCCCTTTGGCCATAGTTCCAAATTGTTTTCCAGAATGGATTATTGTGCAGTTTTACCAACAGTGCATTAGTGTATCAACTTTCCTACACTGCCTCCAACATTTGAAATTTTCCTTTTCTGTCATATTAGCCAATCTGATAGGTATGAAGTGGTGCCTTAGAGTTGTTTTAATTTCCATTTTTCCAATCAGTAGTGATTTATAGAATTTTTTTCATATGATCAGAGATAGCTTCAATGTCTTCATCTGAAAACTGCCTGTTCATATCTTTTGACTATTTATTAATTTGTGGATTTAATTTTATTCTTATGAATTTGAATCAGTTCTCCATATATTTGCAAACAAAGGCCTTTATCAGAGAAACTTGCTATTAAAAAAATCCCTAGTTTTCTGCTTTCCTTCTAATCCTGGCTGCATTAAAATTTTTTAATATGATCAAAATTATCCATTTTATATTTTGTAATGCTCTCTATCTCTTGTTCAGTCATAAATTCTTCCCTTATCCATAGATATGACAAGTAAACTATTTTATACTTCCCTGATTTGCCCATAATATCACCCTGTATGTCTAAATCATGTACCTATTTTGACTTTATCTTGGCATATGGTATGATGTGTTGGTCTATACTCGGTTTCTGCCAAACTGGTCTCCAGTTCTCCTGAAAGTTTTTGTCAAATAGTGAGTTCTTATCCCAAAAGCTTTCTTTGAATTTATCAAACACTGGATTACTATGGTCATTACCTTTTGTTTATTGTCTACCTAGCCTATTCCACTGATCCACCACTCTAT